CATGTCTTTCAAAGATTCAAGACCAAACAATTTAGTTTCAAGCATAGAAAGTAATGCATGTCTCCTAGAAAGTGCATCAGCTACTACATTCCCTTTTCCCTTTTATGCTTGATGACATATGGAAATTGCTCCAAGAACTCAACCCATTTGACATGCCTCTTGTTTAACTTACCTTGTCCCTTTAAGTATTTCAGATATTCATGATCACTATGAATTACAAACTCTTTTTGGTAAAAGGTAATGCTGCCAAGTTTGTAAAGCACGCACTAAGGCATACAATTCTTTATCATAGGTGGGATAGTTTAGGACACCTCCATTCAACTTCTCACTAAAATAAGCAATTGGATGACCTTCTTGTAGCAAAACAACCCCAATACCCACATTAGATGCATCACATTCAATTTCAAAAGATTTTGCAAAATTTGGTAATGCAAGAATGGAGGCATTAGATAGTTTGTGCTTAAGTTCACAAAATGCATTTTCTTGTTTTTCACCCCATTTAAACCCAACATGCTTTTTGACTATTTCATTAAGAGGTGCAGCCAAAGTACTAAAGTCTTTAACAAACCTCCTATAAAAACTAGCTAACCCATGAAAGCTTCTCACTTCACTCACATTCTTAGGGGTAGGCCACTCTTGGATGACTCTAATCTTTTCCTCATCAACTTGTACCCCTTTAGAACTCACAACAAATCCCAAGAACACGACATGATCAGTGCAAAAGGTACATTTTTCAAGATTAGCAAATAATTTTTTCTTTCTAAGCACATTCATGACAGCACGCAAATGTTCAACATGCAAATCAAAATTAGTGTTATATATCAGAATATCATCAAAATACACCACTACACATTTGCCTAAAAACTCTTTCAAGACATGGTTCATCAATCTCATAAAAGTGCTTGGAGCATTAGTTAACCCAAAGGGCATAACTAGCCACTCATACAACCCATATTTAGTTTTAAAACCTATTTTCCACTCATCTCCTTCTCTAATTCTAATTTGATGATATCCACTTTTCAAGTCAATTTTAGAGAAGATACAAGCACCATACGATTCATCCAACAAGTCATCTAACCTAGGAATGGGATGTCTATACTTTACCGTGATGTTATTGATAGCTCTACAATCTGTGCACATCCTCCAAGTTCTATCTTTCTTAGGGACTAGAATGACTAGGACTGCACATGGACTCAAGCTTTCTTTAACTCACCCCTTTTGCATTAAGTCTTCAACTTGCTTTTGAATCTCCTTGATTTCTTAGGGATTGCTTCGATAGGTTGGTCTATTAGGCAATGAAGCTCCTGGAATAAGGTCAATTTGATGCTCAATACCCCTAAGAGGGGGTAGACCTATAGGCACTTCTTTGGGAAAAACATCTTTAAAATCCTGCAACAAAGAAAAAACCTCTTTTGGAAGAGAGTTAGTAAAACATGGACTGTTTGATTTACTTTCTTTACTCAAAAGTAAAAGTATTGACTTTCTCAATTGCATAGCTCTTTTGACTTCTTTTTCTTTTATAAACAGATTTGATTTTTTCCTCTCTTTCTCTTTTTCTTTCTCTTTTTCTTCCTCTTTTTCCTTTTTCTTTTCACTCTCTTTTTCTTTTCTCTTTTCTCTCTCTTTTTCTTTTCTTTCTTATTTTCTTTTCTTTCTTATTTTCTTTTCTTTCTCATTTTCAGTTGATCCTCACTAACTTCTCTTGGAACCAAAGGTGCAAGAGTAGTTTTGCGGTCTTTATGCATAAAAGAGAACTTATTAGTGAAACCATCATGCATAACTCTCCTATCATACTGCCATGGTCTCTCAAGAAGTAAATGACAAGCCTCCATAGGCACCACATCACACAAAATAGAATCTTCATATTTCCCTATGGAAAAACCCACTTCAACTTGCCTATTCACGGTCATCTCACCCTCTTCACGGTCATCTCACCCTCTTCACTAAGCCATTGAAGTTTGTAAGGTCGCGGGTGTGGCTTAGTCTCCAAATTCATTCTTGAAACCAACCGTGCACTAGCCACGTTAGTGCAACTCCCACCATCAATGATTAAAGAGCACAACTTCCCTTGAATGAGGCACCTTGCATGAAAAATATTTTTTCTTTGACAATCATCCAATTCAACTGATTGACTACCCAACATCCTTCTAATCATGAACAGATCTTCTTCTAACTCTCTTTCATCTTCATGCTCATTTTCATCACTAGATGAAGAATCTAAAGAAGATTCACTAATTATTTCTCCATCCTCCTTAAGTAACATAGTCTTCTTAGTGGGACATTGAGAAGCTATGTGACCTCTTCCCAAACATTTGAAGCACTTAACCTCACTACTCCTTGTTTTCTTAAGTGCCTCATCAGACTTATTTTGATTTCTATGAGCTATAACATTGGAATTACTTGTTGATGATCCTCCCTCCTTCTTATTTTTGTCCTTCCAACTAGGAGAGTGAAAATTAGATGAACTCCTCCTCATGACACCCTTTCTCTTCAATTGTTGTTCCACCTTGGAAGCTTGATGTACTAAATCCTCCAACTCAACATAATTTTGCAGCTTCACAACATCCCTTATATCACTATTTAGCCCATGTAGGAATCGGGCCATAGTAGCCTCCCGTGCCTCCATAACATTAGCCCTAATCATGGAAACCTCCATCTCTTTGTAATATTCATCAACACCTCTACTACCTTGTATGAGTCTTTGGAGCTTGTTGTGAAGATCTCTTTGATAATGAGAAGGAACAAATCTTCTTCTCATCAACCTTTTCATTTCTTCCCAACTTTCCACCAAGGGTTCTTCATATCTCACCCTTTCCCTTTGTAATTGGTTCCACCAAATGAGAGCATAATCAGTGAATTCCATGGCTACCACCCTCATCTTTTTATCTTCTGTGTAATTATGGCATGCAAACAGTTGCTCAATTTTTATTTCCCACTCCAAATATGCTTCTGGATCACTCTTTCCTTGAAAAGAGGGTATGTTCAGCTTTACTCCTTCAATTCTGTTATCTCTAACATCACCTTCATTATTTCTCCTTCTCCTCCTTCTACCTCCACCATCATCATCATTTCCTTGATTTTCTAGTTGTTCAATTCTCCCATACAACTCCTCAGTATGTTCTGTCAACATTATTTGCATTTGGGTTGTAATGGCATCAATCAATAATCTATTGTCACCCCCTAGAGGAGGGGTACCACCACCACCACCTGCACCTGCCATCTTTCAAGTAAAAAAGAAGAAAGGACCAAACAAATGAAGTAATAGGACCTCACCACTCTTCTCACGTGTTTGCACTCAAAGATGTACCACTCGTGTTTACTTTTGGCTTTTGTATAATATGCACTCTTGCCTTTCTCCACTCGTTCTCTGACTTATGGTTCTTACAAGAATCAAACAATCTATAGTTCAAGAATCACTTTCAACTGTAGCAATCACAAGGAATAAAACAGAATTGTAGTACCAACAAAGGACAAGTAGCAAAGAACAATTTTACTACTAATAACAAGTAAGACAAATTTAAACTATGGAAAAACAAAGATTAGACAAAGACGTTTGACACTTAGGAATTTTATCAAACAGCTAATGTACACTGAAATTTAAAGGAAGAACAACTGCCACATATATATATATATATATATATATATATATTTTTTTTTCTTTTCTCGATTCTTTTCTTCTTTTGATTGTTTTTTTTTATTCTTTTCTTTTTTTTTAATTCTTTTCTTTTTTTGATTCTTTTCTACAGAAAACTAATTTCAAACACAACTTTGATATATATATATATATATAAATGAAATTCAATATCAAAATTGCATAAACAACAGTTTTTTTTTAACAATGACACGTGAACAGTAACAAATGAACATTACCGTGAACAGTGCGATGAACAGTACCGTTTTTGAACCCTGCTCTGAATACCAAATGACGACACTCCAATAGAAGGGAAACAATTTAGGGTTAGGTTTTAAGAATTAATTTGATTGGAAATAGAAAACAGAAAAAATAAAAGATACCGTAGGCGCCACAAATAAGAATATTTGATAAGTCAAAAAGGATCGCCACAAGAATCGAATAATTCTTGATAAGATCAAGTGATGCAAGGAAGAACCCTAACAGAGCAACAACTCACAAAGTAATCTGAATATTGCGTACGTTCATTCTAAATTTCCAAATGTTTAATACAACTTAAGTTTATGAGTTTGTCTCATTGTAGGAAATAAAGATAAATTAAAATCCTAATATTCCAAGCAAAGTTAAGTTGCTCAGATGGTTCAGTGAAGGTATTATAAGCTTTGGGTCTTGGGTTCAAATCCCTATTGTAGCAGATAAAATTATAATAATAATAAAAAAAACTAAATCTTTTAATTGGGCCTCCTAGCTCTCCAAACATTCTATGCATGTGATAGGTCTAGACTCCTCCATGTTTGGATCTTTTAATAGTTGGGCCTTTATCAAATTGATCACTTTGTATTGCAATGCCTCTTGTGTTTTTCTGAGTCTGCCTCTTGTCATAGGTCTACCTAAGTCTTGAATTGGATCTTGGTCTTGATCCTTCTCGTTATGGGCTTGAGCCTTTATGTCCAGATCACAATACTCTCCATACAATACATTCAGTTAAATTGTCCCTGAGATCTGTATTGAGAAACTACCCAACATATTTCCCCCCGTAGTATCATAACACCTAAGCAGTGTGCAGCCTAATTTGTCTCCTCCCCGACAGCATTGGTTTCTTCTTACTGTTGTCATGTGGCTTTATAGCATCCGCAAATACACCATGATTGAGGCAACTTTTTTCCATTACAGCACCCATGGCATGGTCTCCCCATTGTCAGTATTGCCACCATTCATTTCTTCTGCGACGTTCTCTGCAGTTTGTGAAACATTTGTAGAATTAACATTAGTTTCATGTGTGGTTTGTCATAACTGGGTCTAGAAGTAGCCTGGTCTTGCACGATATCTACTTGCCGGTCAGCAGTTCCATCATGTGATGACTCAACTGCTACTGTTTGAGCATTTCCATCCTCCGCCGAGTGAGGAACAACTTCACAATTCTCTGTACATCAGTTTCATCGGTCTTGGTCTCAATTGACTCAGGAGCATGGTTGTGTGCTTCAATTTCTTCTTCTTGTTGTGCTTGTAATCTGCATTGGTCCATGATATTTTGCATCTTCTCCAGCTCCTCAATTAGACTCCCGTACCTATTTTGCAAAGTTTTCTCAAGTTCCTTTTGCTTCTGTACTTCAGCCCATAGATTGGTTATTCTATTTGATGCTGCTAATTGCTCCTGCTTTTGCAAAACTTTAAAGCATTCTAATTCAGTTGCAGCTATGTCCATCTGCTTGAAAGTGGCCTCAACTTGTGGCCAGAGGCTTTTACCCTCATCTGAAAAAGGTCAGTAGCCAAATTATAATATACTCCCGATTCCACTGATTTCCAACTATTTTCAAGTCCCCACTACTGAAAATTAACCCAAGCTAGCTACAAGGCAACACAATTAGCGAAGTAACAGAAATGTAGCAATGCAGCATTCTGAATACAGCATATCAATATCATACCTCATAACCTTGTGTGAGAACCATCACCTTCTTCTCAAACCGTACCATCTTCTCATTACCATCATCCAATTTGTTTCTCATATTCTCAAATTCATTTTGTAAAGCTGCTACCTTTTCCATGTTCCCAGCAACACTAGAAAGACCATACGCATTACCAGTAGGAAAGTACATAAGATCATTGAAACAGGTTCTGTGTGCTTCAATAAATTCGTCAAGAGGTTCATTTTCATGTCCCATTGCCGCACAAACAATGGGCCTCTTTCTTTATCAACTTATCAACCTACGATATACACATACAGTAGCTGATCATTCTTGGGAGCTGAGGGACCATAGCCCCCCAAATTTTTATAACTCTCATTTGGCCCTCCCAAACTTAATAAACATTTAATATATTTATTTGTATATTTACAATTTTATTCTCTCAGTCCCTCCTCAATTTTGTAACTCCAATGTAATTTATGACTTTGTTCCCCTCAAACTTAATAATCATTTAATATATTTAAATATATATCTACAATTTTATCCTTTTACTCTTTCATCTTCGTTATGTTTTTTATATTTATTTATTATTTATTAATAATATATTATTTGGCCCCAAGATCAATGGTCAAGATATGTACACATAAATCATAAATGTCCTCAGCATTGCTTAAAAGGTCATCTCGACAGCTCAGTATATGAAACAGTTGCTTTATCAAAATTATCAGATTAACGAGGAGCAAAACAAATTAGAAGCTCAGCATATAAAAGCAGTTGCTTTATCATGGAAGGGGATATTTAATTTTAAAATATCTGCGTCAAAAGGGAGGTATCTCTAAAACAGAAGTCAAGTTACTTGTTTGTGTATAAAAACTCAACTGAAGAAAATGAGATGTCATCACAAAGAAAAATAAACTAAGAGCACAGAAACATAAATGAAGACATACATCAGTCATTTCCTTATTCACAGGGACAGTAGACCCATTTAGAGCCCGCTTGATTCCATTCTTTTTCTCCTTATTCACTTTATTATCAAGCGGATACTTAGAATTGTCATGCTCCAGTAAAGTTAGAAGGTCCCTTCTAATCATCTCATCAGCTTGCTATTCTATCATACATATCCTCTTCAATTTTCTCCTCAGGCTCTTCCACGTCTTCTGGAACTGGTTCCATCACTATTTGGTACTCATTTTTGGGCTGTGGAAGGCTTCCTAAACCAGATCACAGACTTCTTCATATCAGCCTGTCTCTGTAGCTCAAGTTTAGAGCTGTCATGCATATTCATGTCCTCATTAATATGTAGCTCATCCCTAGGAGGTGTTCCCTTTGGTGTCATGCTTAAAGAAAAACTATCTCTTGCTGGTGTCATGCCAATTCTAGGAGTGAGACCTGCACCTCCAGGAGTTGCAGAAGGAGTCAGCATTGGATTTGGAGTCTGAATATCCTTGTTCTTAAGGGTGACACCCGAAAAATCTGAAGGATGGAACTCTGGGTTCTCTCCACCTAACAATGGATTTGGAGTCTGAATATCCTTTTTCTTAAGGGTGACACCCGAAAAATCTGAAGGATGCAACTCTGGGTTCTCTCCACCTAACAATGGTGTTTGAGACTCCCTCAACCTGGCCAGATTCTCAGCTTCCATCATAATAGCATCTCCTTTACCAGCTGGTGTGGTGTTCTCTGAGGTGTTCGCAAAGGAGTCACTCCTTTACCAAGTGTCTGTGCATAATTAGCCAGAAGAGCACGTGTTGCACCACTACCTTCAGCAAGTTCCTGACTCCCTGTAAGGTCACTAGGATAACCCAACTTTGCAATTTCGTTCAATTCCTGATCAGAAATCTGGGGTGATGGAAGCATCAATTTTGACCCCTTTCTTACAGTTTCTGGGTCATTCAACTTGTTGGCATGCAATATGGCAGATTGGCAGATGGGGCAACTTTCTTACACCCATGACTTTTTTTCATAAATAATACTGTTTTCAAAAATATTTTCCAAAATAGCACCTCTGCAACTTTATTTACACAACTAGGAAGGATTACTGTTCACATAATAAAATAATCGATCATTTTTATATTATGATCGATCATTTCGCGTAATGAACTCTCGCTCAAGCGAAGAAAACCTTCGCTTGAGCGAGTAAATCTGTAACAAAGGGGTAATCTCGGGTAAATTCTCGCTCAAGCGAAGAAACCCTTCGCTTGAGCGATAAAATCTGTACCGAAGGGGTAATTCTCGCTCAAGCGACGGATATTATCGCTTGAGCGAAGAGTATGATCGATTAATATCCAATTATAGTCGATCGTATATGACTTTAGATAGCGTTTATTTGGCCAACCGCTATCTAAACTACTACATAAGAAAGCGGTTAAAGCCTAACCGCTATCTAATATTATTTTTAAAAGCGGTTGTTTTCAACCGCTATCTAAGGTTACTCAAGCGAAAAACACATCGCTTGAGCGAGGACACCTGGAAAAATGGGGGATTCTCCTGTTCTGTCTCGCTCAAGCGATTTTATGAACGCTTGAGCGACAAGTGATTCTATTATGTGGTGAACCAAGTTATATTATTTGGCTAACTGCGTTTGACGTTTCGGATTCGGTCAATACTCGCTCAAGCGATAAAGTCATCGCTTGAGCGACGAAGCCATCAAACAAGGGCGACTCTCGGGTTCTGTCTCGCTCAAGCGATGGGTACTTTCGCTTGAGCGAGAAGTTATTGCAATATGTGGTGGCCCAAGTTGCATTATGTGGCTAACTGCGTTGGACGTCAGGATTCCCATGTCTTTCTGATGCACACAAGTAAAGAATCCAATGCTGAGTTACCCACCTAAGTTAGGATTCCAATCTTAGATTCCCTGCATTGGGTTAGACAAAAGCAGAAGAATCCAAACATATTTAAAGAGAACCGCTATCTAAAATGTACTTTTAATAGCTGTTAGTTCTAGAACGGCTATCTTATGCGTTTTTCGCTTAAGCGGCGATTCTTCGCTTGATTATGCAGCTCCTGCAGAATGAGTTTCTTCAAAACTTTTCACAAAACTTTCTAAGTTATTTTAATTGATAACAACAAGTTTTAATTGATTAGATTAAAATAGTTAGCAAAAAGTTCCTTAATAACCTTTGACTTCATCAAACCTACAAGATCTTCGTTTTATTAAATGATTCAATAAGATCTTCATCACTTTCAATTAATTGAAAAACTCCTAAGATTCATACATTGAGATATTTCTTAACTAACACAATCTAATGATGCGAAGTAGATGCACATGCAACTTTGGGACATGTTCTTCTGCTATGACCAGGGGTATGACAATATGAACATTTTTTAATCCTACTTTGATTTTCTGTAATGTCCATTTCAGTTCTTATACGACTTGATTTTGGTCGGCCCTTTGAAGTTCTTTTCATTTCTGGATTTTGGTCGGCCCTTTGAAGTTATTGTAATGTCCATTTCTGTAATGTCCATCTTGTACAAAGTCACGAAAAGCAAAAACTTGAATTTCAACTATATCGTAGCTTAATATATAATACATAACAAAGTAGTAGATTGAGATGAGAAGTACCTTTTTAATGGACGGATCGAGCCACTCATACCAGCGAGCTTTGCATTGCTTGGTAGTGAAAGTGATGAAGATCTTATTGAAATAATTTGGCAAAGATCTCATTTGATGAAGTCAAAGATAAAGTCAAAAGTCAACTTTGCAGCGGTCAACAAGTCACTTAGATAAAAGAGTAGAAGGATTAGTGTGCCTACAGAATGCTTAGGTAAAATCATTTTATCTTTTCTGCTGCATGAAGGTTCTTCACTTAAAGATTTTGCAAAATGCCTCTAAAATCGTTTTAAACAACTAAAAACAAAGTATTTTTACAAAAGCTTTCTTAAACATGTCTTTAACTGATATAGTTTTGAAAGAACCGATTAAAATCACTTAGAATGTTCAAAGAAGTGTTTTTACAGTATTTTAATCGATACAACTCTATATTAATCGATTAAAACCAGTTAGAACTCATTATGATCGATCAGAATACAAATATGACCGATCATAATAAGATGTGATCGATCAGATCTGAATTATGAGCGATCAGAAATGTTTCAATCGATTAAAACACGTTTCAATCGATTAAAATACTTAAAGGGTCAGGATGATCGATCAGAATGCAATTATGACCGATCAGAATCAGTTATGATCGATCAGAATTGAGTTATGACCGATCAGAACTATTTTAATCGATTAAAACACGTTTCAACCGATTAAAACAACTTGGAAAAATTATGTACTGAGTTTTAATCGATTAAAACCTATTTTTATCAGTTAAAATAACTTGAAAAGTTTTATAAGAAAGTTTTGCAGTATATTAATCGATTAAAACACGAAACAATCGATTGAATCAAACTTAGAAAGTTTTTATAAAATGTTTTAACTGATATAAACGTTGTCGTATCAGCTAAAACAAATCTGTTAAAGAATCAAGAACGTATTAATGGATTGAAAGGACTTTTAACAGATTGAAACGGCTATTTCAACAGATTAAAACAAACTTTTAACAGATTAATAAATGCAGCAGTTTTGAAATTACTCTTTAAAATGAGAGTTGCTTGAAACTTTTTACACATCAGTTTTTACACATCCTTGAGCAATCAATCAAGCAACTTTAGCACTCTTTTCAAGAAAGATTCGCGGCAGTTTTTGAGAAGTTCTTTAAAAATCTTTCTTGAGGCATATTGCTTTTCTTTAAAGAAGAAACTCACTGCAGAATAGCATAAACTGGTTTGAGCTTTCTAGTTTCTTCTTTGTCAATTCTTTTTCATTCTTTTGTATTGTTTGGTGCCTGGAATTTGGGCACTGGTTTCTCTGCAGCTGGAATTTGGTTGTAGAGGTTGTCAAGAACTGGAATTTGGTTCTTGGTGAAAGGTTAGGTGTTGGTGCCTGGAATTTGGGCACTGGTTTCTCTGCAGCTGGAATTTGGTTGTAGAGGTTATCAAGAACTGGAATTTGGTTCTTGGTGAGAGGTTGAGTGCAGGAACTGGAATTTGGTTCTTGTGATAGATTAGGTGTAAGATTGTTGAATCTGTAAAACATTTAATCTAGTGGAACCCAGCTGGAATTTGGCTGGAGACTGGACGTAGCCCTGGTATTGGGTGAACCAGTATAAAATACCGGTGATATCTTTCTTAACCTTTCTCTCCTTTAAATTCTGTTGCTGCATTATTTTGATTGATTGCTTTGAGATTCAAGAACAGATCTGTAAACTTAATTTTCGAATTAGATAATCTGTTATTTGCGAAAAACTTTCAAAGATCAATTCACCCCCCCTCTTGATCTAAAACTACTTTTCTAACAATTGGCATCAGAGCGAGGTGCTTGAAAGTTATTCAAGTTTCTTCGATCCATGGCTGAAAACAGATTACCATTTTCTGAGGGGGCTTCTATTAACAGACCTCCACTATTCTGTGGAACAGATTATCCTTTTTGGAAAATTAGGATGAAGATCTTTATTGAATCCATTGATAGAAATGTTTGGGATGTTATTTCTAATGGCCCTTTAATTACAGAGAAAGAATGGTCCAGCTTAAATGATGAGGAAAAGAAAAAAATTCAAAATGATTGCACTGCTAAAAATATAATTACTTCTGCACTTAACATGGATGAGTTTTTCAGGGTCTCCCAATGCAAATCTGCCAAGGAGATGTGGGATGTTCTTGAGATTACTCATGAAGGGACAGCGGATGTAAAGAGTGCCTATGTAGCATGGGATGACAATGACACTTCATCAACAGACAATTCTGATAATGAAGAAGCCAACCTATGTCTAATGGCAAGTCAAAATCCTCAATCCAGTAATGTAAGTTCTAGTTCCTCTTCAAATTTAGTGAATTATGATTCATTGCAAGAAGCATTTAATGAAATGCATGAAGAGGCTAAGAAACTACAAAAAGAAAACGATAGGCTAAAAGGACTAAATAATTGGCTAGTAAATAAAGTTGACTCTCTTGAAAAAAGAATTCTTGAAGATGAAACTGATTGTGATTTCTTAAAATTAATTCATGATAATTCTGACTGTGCATGTAATAAACCCTGTAATAACTGTTCAGAATTACAAAAGAAAATTGATTTTTTATCACAAACCGTTTCAAGATTCACACAAGGTCAAGCCAATCTTGATGTTTTACTTGGGTCCCAAAAACTAATTTTTGATAAATCTGGAATAGGTTTTAAATCTAGGATGAAACCCAGAAAAACAAATGTAAGTAGGAAATCATACTCTGTAATCAAATGTTTTTACTGCATGAAGAAAGGTCACTCAGTAAAATATTGTAGAATCAAAAAGTATGCTATTCCTAAAGGAAGAATGAAGTGGGTTCCAAAAATTAATTCATTTCAAATAACCTAATTGGACCCAGTAATCATAAAGGGTACCAGAAAAATTCTTAATTTGTTTTGCAGGGACAAAGTCTGGGAATCCCTTGGAGTTCAGAGCTGCGAATCAGGTTCTGTTTGTCTAAACTGATTGTTTTAATTGATATAAACCAGTATTAATCGATTAAAATAACTTACAGAAATTCTGCACGTACCATTTTAATCGATTGAAATGACGAATTAATCGATTAAAATGTTCTCAGGATTTGAGTTTAGCTGTTTTAATCGATTAAAATGAATTTATATCAACTAAAAACACTAAGGTATCAAATTTAATCGATTCATTTTCGTTTTAATCGATTTAAATTCTGTTATCATTTTTTTTCTCATTCAGTACAAAACTAATCGATTCTTTTATGAAATAATCGATTAATCCACTGTAGCAGTTTCAAACCTAATATTAAAGATCAAATTAATAGGTTAATTAGTTAGTTAATCGATTAATTAGGTTCTGTAAATAAGTTTTATGACATCCAATTAAAGATTGGTAAGCAAATCAAATTCAAAATTCCAAGTTTTTATGATAATCAAAATCTGCATAATTTCTTTGACCAAGTCAAACATATTCTCAAGATCAGTTTAGTTGATTCACCCAATGGCCAGAAATCTGTGTTTTTGTTCTTTGGTAAAGGGGACAATTGCAGTTAAAACTGAAACATTGCAGTTTTGTCTCTTTGGATTTAAAAAATTTGAAATCCGTTTGAAATCCTTGGATTCACTATAGTATACATTAGAGAATTTAGTTTCTTTCATTACTGCTTTGAATAGCGGCTAGACAATCATGAATAATACCGAATGAGTCTCGGACATGTCTGATTCAAGTAGTCTGTTATGGAATATTCAATTTCATTTCAATGGCACAAATTTTCATGATTGGAAAGCGAAGGCTGAACAAATCTTTGAATTGGAAACTAGACTAGTGGAATAATGTGGGAAAGTTATTACTGTTATCCATGAATGGAAAAGTTTTTTATTTTGACAACAACATAGACATGATTCAAGCTGTAGATGTCTACATTTCTCTTAATACTTTACATGGAATGCTGCGTGGTAATACGTTACAAATCAAAGGAAACTGCCTTCCCTCAATGAAGGCAAATTTCGTGACGAATACGATGCTTTTTGATGCCCATGATAATAGTGATGTATGAAATATGTATGGATATGGTTATTGACCGGGAAGTTCTGGATTGCTGTCATCACTAGTTCTGTTTTGTATGCATGTGTTCCAGTATATGATACCACTGGAAACAACAAAGTTGAAGAAAATTCATTCCTCAGAGATGATGATGACTGATCCATTTGAAGGGAGGAATAACACGCTATCATTTCCTTCATACTACATTAAGAATGCAGTTATTTGCTTGAATGGTGATGACTGCAAGGTTTGAAATGGGTTGGCTACTATTAAAGGAGAGTCTGATCTCGGTACATCATTAACCTGTGATTCATGCGATTTATGGTATCGTGCATTCTGTGTGGGATTTGATACTGAAAGTACGTCAGTCAGTACATGGTTTTGCCTCTAATGTGTAGTAGATGATAATTCCATTGTAAGGTCAACCGTGGACTGTAATACAGACAATAGTAACAAGTAAATGCCATGCTAAAGATTCTTTTTCAGGAAAAGTTTCTGTGTCTATTGCTGATACAGGAGAGACAGCTGTTGGTGTCTTAATGGTTGATAAAGCAAAATTGGTTCCAGCAAAAAGTGAAGCCTATGGCCTTTTAAAGTTGGTAGGGATCAAATGACTGAGTCATGAATTTTGATATCTGACACAAATAATCAGGGAAGTGAGGACAAATTTATCTACACCAAGCTGGAAGATATGGGGCTGAACCAAGGAAATTGGGATAATTGAATATTGGTGGATAAAAAGGGTCCCTTCTTACCTTTCTTTTATATCTTATTTCTTTTGATGCTAATTTCAATTTATGGTCTGTAATATTACTGGTTATTAACCAGAAACAATATTTTTAGCTTTGATTTATATAATGTAGGTTTAAGTCGAATCAGGAAAACCTAGATAGAATTTAAATAGATCACTGATATTTTACTTAGGAAAATCAAAACAGAATAATCGATTAAACTTCGTATCAATCGATTAAAATCTTTATAAACTAGCTTACATCAGTTAAATTAGCTAAATAAGATTTTATTCTGATTTTGATGGATCTATTAGTTAAGATTTAATCAATGTAGTTGATAGTATTGTTAAACATCCTTCTAGATGATCAGTTTTACAAAATATGCATCAAACATTACTTAGTTTTCAAAACTGATTGTTTTAATCAATAAAAAATCTTTTAAATCGATTAAAAGAATTTATACAACATTTTTCTTTACTGTTTTAATCGATTAAAAGTCGAATTAATCGATTAAATGCACTAATGTTTCATATCTTTGAAATTCTTAAAGGTTTTAATCGATTAAAATTTTATTTCAATCGATTAAAATCATTAACAAGAACATTTTAATCGATTCTGTCCTGTTTTTAATCGATTATTACTCTGGAAAGAAAAATTAAAGGCTTTAGTTAATGGCTGTTCCTGTAACATGCTACTAAAGCGTGATTCCCTTATCTTTACACGTGTTAATTGTATTCATTACAAACGTGTTAATGAAGATAATTTTGAATCAACTTTGATTGATCTTTACATGAGTAAAGTATTGATTTCCTTTTATTTTCAAAAACTCAAACTGATGAATACCTTTGCATTTCATTATTTCTCTTCTGTTCCCTATTTTTGATGAAGTCAAAAGGGGGAGAAATAGTTGCTTAGGATCAATTTAAACAACTCTTAATTTAAGGGGAGCAACATTTTAGAGAGGAGAAATAGGATTTAGGGGGAGAAATAGGACATTAATACATTTTTTAATTTCTCACTAATCTGTATTTTCAAGTGACTTTTCTTGCAGAGTTTTTTTTCAAAATGGTGTTTGTCTTCATCAAATAGGGGGAGACTGAAAGTGATGAAGATCTTATTGAAATAATTTGGCAAAGATCTCATTGATTTGATGAAGTCAAAGATAAAGTCAAAAGTCAACTTTCCAGCGGTCAACAAGTCACTTAGATAAAAGAGTAGAAGGATTAGTGTGCCTACAGAATGCTTAGGTAAAATCATTTTATCTTTTCTGCTGCATGAAGGTTCTTCACTTAAAGATTTTGCAAAATGCCTCTAAAATCGTTTTAAACAACTAAAAACAAAGTATTTATACAAAAGCTTTCTTAAACATGTTTTAAACTGATATAGTTTTGAAAGAACCGATTAAAATCACTTAGAATGTTCAAAGAAGTGTTTTTACAGTATTTTAATCGATACAACTTGATTTTAATCGATTAAAACCATTTAGAACCCATTATGATCGATCAGAATACAAATATGACCGATCAGAATCAGATGTGATCGATCAGATTTGAATTATGAGCGATCAGAATATTTTCAATCGATTAAAACACGTTTCAATCGATTAAAATACTTAAAGGGTCAGGATGATCGATCAGAATACAATTATGACCGATCAGAATCAGTTATGATCGATCAGAATTTAGTTATGACCGATCAGAAGTATTTTAATCGATTAAAACACGTTTCAACCGATTAAAACAACTTGGAAAAATTATGTACAGATTTTTAATCGGTTAAAACCTATTTTTATCAGTTAAAATAACTTGAAAAGTTTTATAAGAAAGTTTTGCAGTATATCAATCGATTAAAACACGAAACAATCGATTGAATCAAACTTAGAAAGTTTTTATAAAATGTTTTAACTGATATAAACGTTGTCGTATCAGCTAAAACAAATCTGTTAAAGAATCAAGAACGTATTAATGGATTGAAAGGACTTTTAACAGATTGAAACGGCTATTTCAACAGATTAAAACAAACTTTTAACAGATTAATAAATGCAGCAGTTTTGAAATTACTCTTTAAAATGAGAGTTGCTTGAAACTTTTTACACATCAGTTTTTACATATCCTTGAGCAATCAATCAAGCAACTTTAGCACTCTTTTCAAGAAAGATTCGCGGCAGTTTTTGAGAAGTTCTTTAAAAATCTTTCTTGAGGCATATTGCTTTTCTTTAAAGAAGAAACTCACTGCAGAATAGCATAAACTGGTTTGAGCTTTCTAGTTTCTTCTTTGTCAATTCTTTTTCATTCGTTTGTATTGTTTGGTGCCTGGAATTTGGGCACTGGTTTCTCTGCAGCTGGAATTTGGTTGTAGAGGTTATCAAGAACTGGAATTTGGTTCTTGGTGAGAGGTTGAGTGCAGGAACTGGAATTTGGTTCTTGTGATAGATTAGGTGTAAGATTGTTGAATCTGTAAAACATTTAATCTAGTGGAACCCAGCTGGAATTTGGCTGGAGACTAGACGTAGCCCTGGTATTGGGTGAACCAGTATAAAATACCGGTGATATCTTTCTTAACCTTTCTCTCCTTTAAATTCTGTTGCTGCATTATTTTGATTGATTGCTTTGAGATTCAAGAACAGATCTGTAAACTTAATTTTCGAATTAGATAATCTGTTATTTGCGAAAAACTTTCAAAGATCAATTCACCCCCCTCTTGATCTAAAACTACTTTTTTAACAGGTAGATTTGCGAACAAGAAGATATTCGAGCCCACTGGTTTTTACCATATTTCATAACAGCAGCTTTCAGGATCTCATCTTCGGTGTTTAATTTTGCAATCCTTCTGTGCATGAACTTTATTAAACCAACTGCACACTCTCACTCATGTAATCCATAGGCCTGGCACCCAACACCAGCTTACTCATGTAATCCACACTCTCACTCATGTAATCCATAGGCCTGGCACCCAACACCAGCTTACTCATGTAATCCACACTCTCACTCATGTAATCCATAGGCCTGGCACCCAACACCAGCTTACTCATGTAATCCATAGGCCTGACACCCAACACCAACTTAATCAAAATCCTACAAGTTAATCAAAATTTGTAACAAGTCCAGAGGTCTCTCTCAGAGACCTTATAAGTGGAAGGTTCTCGAACAAATTTTTGAGGGATGGTTACCCTCTTAGTCTTATGGGTGTTAAGATTTCATTGAGACCCAGCCAGAGGGTTCTGACCACGGAGGGATGGTTACCCTCTTGGCCTTAATCGTACTCAATTTATTCAACATCTTTACTGTTATCCTAAAGTTATGTACTCAATTTATTCAACATCTTTACGGTTGATGCACCTAAGTAACAGCTTAACGAATTAACGAGAAAGAACAAGTTTAATTCAAAGAATACTGAAAGTCCAACATGCACTAGAATACTGAAAAACCAACATGCACTAGAATACTGAAAAACCAACATGCACTAGAATACTGAAAGACCAACTTTTCAAACTTTGTGTTGTCTCTGCACTAGAATAAATCAGACTTGCAAAACTCACCCGACGAAAATAAATCAGACTTGCAATTAAAATTTGAATAAGGATTTGAAGAATTGATAGGGTTTTCAAAGAGAATCAATAGAAATCGAAGAGAACAGAGAGGTAGGGTTTCAGGGAAAGAATGGAATCCGAAACTCAATATATTGAAATCTGAATGGTTACAAGAGAATTTATTATTCCAAAAAAATTACTAACAAAAGAGAAAAATTGCTTATTTATAGAATTCTGTTTCAGCAACAGAACTAACTAACTCAATATCCTTTTAATTAACTATTTTTTCTGTCGGTCTTCTCCCACCTCCATCACATGGATTTGCAGTTTCTTGTGGGTTAAGCCATGGGTATATGTGAAAGGTTCATCACAGAAAAGGCTTTCATCACAGTCTTAGGTTTGAAGATCCTCACCATCATTTGAACATTCTTCTTCAAGCCACCAAGGAAGCAACTCAATTGGTAAGCCTCTGTCAACTCGAACAACTCGATTCTTGACACGATGGCATCAAACTCAGTGTGGTAATCGGTTACAGAACCTTTCTGCCTCAATTTCATAAGTTCTTCGCAAACTTCATCAAAACGCCAAATTTGCTGTTGCAGAGTAGCGCCTAGCGTCATGACTCTTTCTTCAATTGTTGAATACATATCACGAATCTTGGAATTGACACGTTCTTCGAATTCTCGCAGCTGGGTTTGTGTTATTGTGTTATCGGCCATGGCGGAATGTGGTTGGAAGTAATGTTCCATGGAAAGGAATCCAAAACTCAATATATTGAAATCTGAATGTTTACAAAAGAATTTTATTATTCCAAAAAATTACTAACAAATAAGAAGATTTATAGAGTTTTGTTTCAGCAACAGAACTAACTAATTCAATATCCTTCTAATTAACTGTTTTTCCTGTAAAAGATTTCGTGCAATTCGTGCAAGGGGCGTTATCGAGAGTCGAGTGTGTCATTTTGAGCCGTAAAATTAACCGGTTAGGTTTGATCCAATGTAGTTCTTTGAATGATAAAACCCAAGAAGGTGATAGCCCAATACATAAAATCCATTGAAACTGCAAAACACATAAAAAAACTAACCTTGATTTAAATTTAACTTTTAAATACATTGTTGGATTGGGTTAATTTTTAAAATTTTTTAATCAACCCACCAAAAGTTAATATTGAAAAAAATGTTTTTAAAACTTTTTTTTTATCCCACTAACAAATATATTATATGAAAAATTATAAATACTTTTATAAGCACATTGTCTTCATGACCTTCACAACTTTAAAATTAAGGCATTTTAAAATTAAGGCATACACATACACATAGTAAATGAATCATTTAATATGGGATTGTTGTTTCATTACATTTCACAAAAAAGATCTATAAGAATTTGTTTAAAATAAACTATTTATTATCTATTTATTCAATCAAGTGAAATTAGAAAATACTTGTGATAAAAACAAAAATAATAAAATATTAATTGTTTTAAATTAAAAATATCATCTTAAACAATTATATTTTTAATTTTACATATTTAGGAATATAATTGAAAAATTAGTCATTAACACATAAAATAACTTATTATTAAAGTAAATTTTTTCAAACATTAAACTTTACGTTTTTATAAGATAATTAAGTATATAAAAATTCTTCGTCTATAAAAAATAACTTATAATTTATTAAACCATTTTATTTAGGATTGGCTGGCATGTTAATTAAAACACAACTAAATAATTATTATTCAAATAAATAAATATATATATATATAATTAATTTATGTGAATTTTTATTTTATTAACAAGTTATGCAAGACATCACTTTACTATTTATTATGTTACTCAATGTTTTTGGATTGTTTCTTCAAATTTACTACATATTAAAGTGTTGACATTAATTTTAGTTTTAAACAAAATCAGTTGGGTAAGCTAACTTTAAAATTTTGAAGGGTAATTATGACATATTTATTTTATCATAATCTAGTATCTATCATGAATAACATAGTGTACTTGGTTTTAAATATTCGATTATTTTATCATAATTTAGTATCCATCATAATTTTAAATATTCGATTATTTTAAAATTATGATCGATTAATTTAAATTATAATTGATTATAAATTTCTTCGCTCAAACGATAAACTTTTCGCTTGAGTGAGAATTGACCACAGAGCTAAAGATCCAACGCAGCTTAGCCAATCACTTTTTGTTTGAGCGAAATTACTCATCCCTTGAGCGAGGATTGACTACAGGTTAAAGGTCCAACACGGTTAGTCACATAATGCAACTTGGGTCACCACATATTTCAATCACTTATTACTCGAACGAAATTACCCATCACTTGAGCGAAAAAACCCTGAGATTACCCATTAGTTTTAGGTCTCTCGCTCAAACGATAAATCGTTTGAGCGAGAGAAATAATTAATCATAATTTTAAATATTCGATTATTTTAAAATTATGATCGATTAGTTTAAATTATAATAGATTATAAATTTCCTCGCTCAAGCGATGAATTTCTCGCTTGAGCGAGAATTGACCACAGACTAAAGGTCCAACGTAGTTAGTCAATCACTTCTCGCTCGAACAAAATTGTCCATCGCTTGAGTGAGAATTGACCACCGGCTAAAGGTCCAACGCAGTTATTCACACATAATGTAACTTAAGTCATCACATATTTTAATCACTTCTTGCTCGAGCGATATTACCCATCGCTCGAGCGAAAACCCCGAGATTACTCATTAGTTTCAGGTCTCTTCGCTCAAGCGATAGATTTATCGCTTGAGCGAGAGAGAAATCATTGATCATAATTTTAAATATTTGATTATTTTAAAATTATAATCGATTATTTTAAAAATTTTTAATCAACCCATCAAAAGTTAATATTGAAAAAAATGTTTTTAAAACTTTTTTTTTATCCCACTAACAAATATATTATATGAAAAATTATAAATACTTTTATAAGCACATTGTCTTCATGACCTTCACAACTGTAAGAATTAAGGCATACGCATATTAAATGAATCACTTACAATGGGATTGTTGTTTCATTACATTTCACAACAAAAACGTATAAGAATTGACTTAAAATAAACTATCTATTTATTCAATCCAGTGAAATAGAAAATACTTGACAAAAAAAGCCTGCTTAAAATAAATTATTTATTTGAAATAGAAAATACTTGTCACAAAAACAAAAATGATAAAATATTGATTGTTATCATCTTAAAAACAATTATATTTTTAATCTCACATGATCTGATAATATATATAAAATGAGAAATATAATTGAAAAATTAGTCATTAACACATAAATAACTTATTATTAAAGTAAATTTTATCAAACATTAAATTTTACGTTTTTGTAAGATAATTAAATATAAAAATTTATGTCTATAAAAAATAGCTTATATTTTATTAAACCATTTTATTTAACACTGGCATGTTAATTAAAATGTAATAAATAATTATTGTTCAAATATATATATATATATATATATAATTAATTTATGTGATTTTTTATTTAAGCAACAAGTTATTCAAGACATCATTTTACTATTTATTATGTTACTCAATGTTCTTGGATTGTCTCTTCAAATTTACTAAATTAACTTAAACAAAATCATTTGGACAAGCTAACTTAATAAATTTGAAAGGGTAATTATGACACATTTATTTTAGATACTATCATAAATAACATATTTTTTATTAAGTGTATGTTAAAAAATTGTTATTTAGAAAAAATAAAACACAATGAGCAAGCTTCAGGTTTAGTTTGCGTGGCCTAATGGATAAGGTGCTCGCCTCCGGAGCGGGAGATTGTGGGTTCGAGTCCCATCGTGAATGCATTATTAATTCAATTATACTGAAAAAAAAATCTATTTAACTTTACTATAATATATATGAAAAATAACTTTTTATTTCATTTTCTTATAGTAACAATTAATATAATTATGTTCGTTTATTTGTTTAACGTGATATTTAAAATTATTTTATTTAGGTAAATTATATTTTTTTACTACTTTTTCAAAAATATTATTTATTTCTCAACATTTTTTAAAATATTTTATTTTTTTCTTCAAAATTTTTAAAGTTTTATTTATCGATTCACGTGATAAACAATATTTAGTAAATTAAAACTACTAAGTTTAGAAAAAAAATTAAATATAATAAATTATATGGTTTTAGGACTTAATAATAGTATTTAATGACATAAACTAAAATTAGAAAAATAGGAATTAAGACCTGTCATTTTTTCTTTCTGAATTAAAAGTAGAATTTATAAAAAATAAAATAAAAAACATATCAAATCTTATATTTTTTTTTATAATATTTTTAATATAAGCTTATCCAAATGACTTTAATAAATTAAATAAATTAAATAATTTTTAAGTTAAGATTAGTTTTTTTAAGCAAATTTGATTTTTTTTTACCATTTGAATTTTTAAAATATATTATTAATTTATAAATAATAAATTTTATCTCATAGAAAAGTTTCTGTACTTTTTATTTTTTTTATAATATTTATGAAAAATTTGTTATCCCAACCTATCTTAAATATTGAATGATACTTAGTCTTCATATTCAATACAATCGTATAAACTGAGAACTATATATATTTTGCGTGAAGGATAATTTTCAACGGTAGAAGACAAATATATTTTGAATCACAGCGATTACTGTAGTAGTATAAAGTTCTTTGATATACAGAAATTAGACATCTATCAACAAACTTAAAGAGTTAATTTATAAACCAAGTGAGTGATATTTTAGCAAAAATTAAGTGTCAGTTCCATGATTTTGAAGTTGGTGGTGACTTGATTGGACTTCAGCTTATAGCAGATAAATCAGCAATCTTAAAGGCAGCTTATAAGTAAAAAATTTGAAGTATGAAAGAAGAGTTGTTGAAATTGCAAGGTTAGAAAAATGGTGTGGATTTGATAAATTGATTAAATGAGTTGTTTGGAATATGAATATGATGCTGCTGCTGCTGCTGCTAAGGCAAGGCCAACAGAAGAGAAGCATTTATTATAATAAAGCGTAATTAATTAAGGCAGGAAATGTAAAAGCAAAGGTGGGGCAAGAGTGACCGGTGACTGAGAAAAGGATAATAGAAATGGAGAATTATAGAACGGGGGGAGGGCAGAGAGACAGTAATAATAAGTAGAGAGAGAGGGAGGGAGCAAGGATGCCATCTCTGATCTCTTTGGCAGTGTGAGACGGTGTTGGCTGCCTTCATGTGCTTTTGAGTTGGGTGTGTCAGCATTAACCTCTCCTCTCTCTATCTCTCACTTATAGATCCAATCTCTTTCTCTCTCTACCTCAATTCAACCCTAATCGCTCTCTTTCAATTCCCCACCCTTTCGTTATCACCTATTTTCTTCTACTCTTCCTTATCTTCCCCCATCTCTTCCCATAATTCACGCTCCTCACTCTCATCACGGAATCCAAATCCCCCACTTCTCCACTTTTTTTCCTCCTTTCCTCACTACCTCAAATCCACAATTTCACTGTCCTTAATTCAAATCTTCCTCCGCCACTGCTTCTTTCCACTCATTTCAATCCAGCTTCGTGGAGCTACGATTTGGAGCCGAAACCGATCCCTATCTTCAATCGATTTGCTTTTTGCTTTTTCGAGTGATGATAGCAGCAGCAGCAGCAGCTGCTTAGAGACAGAGAGAGAAATCAGATGGAGGATATATCGAAATACGCGCACAGTCCTGCACACGTGGCAGTAGCGAGGCGTGACCATGCCGCACTGCGCCACCTCGTTTCCTCCATTCCTCGACTCGCCAAAGCCGGTGAGGTCAACACTGAAGCTGAATCGCTCGCGGCGGAGCTCAAAGCCGACCAGGTGTCCGCGGTTATCGACCGCCGCGACGTTCCGGGAAGAGAAACCCCTCTCCACCTGGCGGTGCGTCTCAGAGACGCTGTCTCCGCCGAGATTCTCATGTGTGCTGGTGCGGATTGGAGTCTTCAGAACGAGCACGGTTGGAGTGCGCTCCAAGAAGCCGTGTGCACTAGAGAGGAAGCCATTGCGGTGATCATCGCGCGCCACTACCAGCCTCTTGCGTGGGCCAAATGGTGCCGCAGACTTCCCCGAATTGTGGCTTCCGCTGCTCGAATCCGCGACTTCTACATGGAGATATCTTTCCATTTCGAGAGCTCCGTCATTCCCTTCATTGGCCGCATTGCCCCTTCCGACACCTACCGTATTTGGAAGCGCGGTTCCAACCTCCGCGCTGATATGACCCTGGCTGGCTTCGACGGATTCCGCATCCAGCGTTCCGACCAAACCTTTTTGTTCCTCGGAGAGGGTTATGCTTCCGAGGATGGGAATTTGAACCTACCACCGGGTTCTTTGCTTGCGCTTTCTCACAAGGAGAAGGAGGTTACCAATGCTTTGGAGGGAGCTGGTACGCAGCCAACGGAAGCTGAGGTTAATCATGAAGTTTCTTTGATGTCTCAGACTAATATGTATAGACCCGGTATTGATGTTACTCAGGCGGAGCTTGTTCCCCATTTGAATTGGCGGCGACAGGAGAAGACTGAGATGGTGGGATATTGGAAGGCTAAGGTTTATGACATGCTTCATGTCATGGTGAGTGTCAAGTCGAGGAGGGTGCCGGGTGCTATGACTGATGAGGAGCTTTTTGCTGTGGATGATGGAGAGAGTATGGTGAATGGAGAGAATAATGATGAGTATGATGATGTGTTGACCGCTGAGGAAAAAATGCAGTTGGATTCGGCGCTGCGGATGGGAAACTCTGATGGTATTTGTCAGGAGGAGGAGCCTGGAGGAGGGTTTGATGGTCATGAGAATGGTTCAGCAGCGTCCTATTCTGAAGCCAATGGTGGGGCTAAAGAGAAGAAGAGCTGGTTTGGTTGGAACAAGAAAAACATGAAGGCTGGCGGCGGTGAGGAGCTTGAGGATTTTAAGTCTGCGAAGAAGCTTTCGGGTGATCCGCAAAAGCCACAACCTGATGTTGTGAAGGATAAAAACTTCAAGAGGAAAAAGAAGAAAGGAGGAGTTAATGAGTCTAAGAATGAGAGTGAGTACAAAAAGGGCTTAAGACCTGTCTTGTGGTTGACACCGGACTTTCCTTTGAAAACAGACGAACTTCTGCCCTTGCTTGACATCTTAGCAAACAAGGTTAAGGCTATTAGGAGACTCAGAGAACTTTTGACGACTAAACTTCCTCATGGAACCTTTCCTGTTAAGGTAACCCATATATCATCATATTCTCAACCTTCTGTACTTATTTTTTCTCTGTTGCTTTGCTCTGCACTCTTGTGGTTACACTATTGATACTTTTGGAGGACCAAAAGTAGGCATTTGTTTAAGGTAACTTCCTCTTAAAAGATATTTGTTTTTGGGTTTCGGGACCAGGTTTTCTTTAATTTTGCTTACGTTACGGATTCTTCTCTTGCTGTCACAAGTGGGTGCTAGACATTTTTCTTTTGTATCCAGTTGATGAGTAGATGACGCAATAGTGATTGATGAATAAAATTATCGCTGTCTGGAGATATACTATCATCATTCTATTGCCAAATATGTGGTTTGAAGTTCATGGCATCATTATCTGAGTTTTTAGATTTCTTTTTCTTTGGATATTTGTCCTAATTGAACACTTCGAAGAATGAGATTTTTGTCCCTGCCTTAGCCCAGCATTCTTTAGGCTGACACATAGTTTCCCTTCTGCGGATAAATTTCTGAAGATATACAGTTCTTTCATCTCTTTTGCTGAAGCAGCAGAACCATATATTGCAAAGCAAATTACATATTGTTGCCTTAAACTTATTGAAATTGCGCTAGTTTCTTTTCTGTTGTTCATTCCAGATTTTTCTTCTAGATATGAATACACTAGCATTCCCAAGAGGGGATTCATACTGGTTTTCTAAATGTAACGGACATCAACACTAAGAATGCCACTTCTAAATACAATTGTTGTAATGACTACTCGAATGAAAATACTGAATGCCGCCTTGTCCTTTCTGAACATTTTAGGAACAGTTTTAAACATGTAAAGTGTATATTGATATATATGAACAATATGCTAGTTAATATGTCACACATGTCATGTGTATTGCATAACATTAATATTTCGTATACATAACTAATTTATTTATCATATAATTGTTCATATCTAGTGCCCTTACAAAACGACATTATTTTCCTGTTTCTCTGTTGCGGCATACATTGCATCAATGCATTTTTTTCATATGCCCCTGGTTATTCTTACTGCTATGCAGGTGGCTATACCTATAGTTCCTACTATACGAGTCCTTGTCACCTTTACGAAATTTGAGGAGCTTCAGCCAGCAGAGGAGTTTTCAACTCCACTCTCCAGCCCAGCATACTTCCAGGATGCCAAATCCAAGGAATCAGAAGGGTCTACGTCGTGGATTTCATGGATGAAAGGAAGTCGAGGTACACAGTCCAATGATTCTGATAGTCATAGATATAGGGATGAAATCGACCCTTTCAGTATACCTTCGGACTACAAATGGGTGGATGCCAATGAGAGGAAACGCCGTATGAAGGCAAAGAGAGCTAAAAATAAGAAACATAAGAAGCAGACAGCCGCCAAAGGAGGAGATGGATTACAACTAGGGGGTGAGGACGTGGAAGAATACTAATAGAATTGTATCTCTCTAATTGCTGCCTTGATGATCGTTGTCAGAGAAAGCATATGAAACATTGGGCACGGCTGACTTTACTTTTCACATTGGATGATCTAGCCAAGAATTTACAGAATCATTTTGGGCGATCTATTGTTACTCCTTAAGAAAAGGGTGCCCCTATGTTTTTCCCCTTTCGCGATATTGGATTATGAACAGTTTTCATCATCAGGAAATAATTGTATTGTCATTTTGAAGAGAAAACGAAGAGGAAGAGTCTATTAGGCCTTCAATCACTTGGCTCCATTCTGATTTTGCCCAAGATAGATTACCTATTTTGTATGTACATCTGAATTCCTGATTATTGATTTTGAATTCTTGTGAGTGGTATTTGTGTTTTCACTGTTCGTTCATGAAGTTTTGGCTATTCTTTTGAACTGACTATGGCCTAGTAAAATTTGTTGAAATTTGTACCTACATCATTGAATACAAGAACCTCTTCTTTTTGCAATTTCATAGTCTTTTATTTTTTTACATATTTTTTTACTTTGATAATAGTTCTTTGTTTTTCTTTTCTTTGCATCAAAGTGCTAATCCTAAATTCCTGATAAACATTTTGTAGTCTAAAGAAATCATCGAGTACACACGGAAATCTTTATAGGTAGATACACGTCTACCAGTAAGCCGGTAACAAAGTTTGATAGTTTTTAATGGACAAAACTAAGATTTAAATAGTTTTTCTTTTTCACTTTCAAGTTTTAGTAGTTGATACTAATTAAAAAAAATATATAACATGTATATTATTCTGTGTTCGCTTCTTTTTCTTGTATCCATATTTCTGTATGAGGTAAAAGATATTCTACATATATTTTGATTTAAAAGTTATAATTTTTTTTATTGAAACTCCATCAGTTTTCTTATCCTATTATAGATAACCAATTTTAATTATCTTTGGACCGAAAATGAAAGAAAAAAAAAACCTGCTCAGATACGCGCATAATTCTGATAAATTTTCAGAAGGATGCAAGATTTTATAATTTTGGGAGTTTCACGAGGAAACCGAATTAAATATTTCGTGTTGAATATGTCAGTTATTGGTGGTTATACATATAGCTTAAAGTAGTCAAAATATACGCCCACTGTTTTTCCTACAAGTAAAATTTGATCATGGAAATATTCCATACCTCCGCATGAAACACAACAACAAAACTAGGCAAGAAATAACGTACTGGAAACACAAGGTGCAATCATTTTGATTCTTTCGACATCACTATAAATTAGAGATGGTATTGTTTTTATTTTTCCATATGTACAATAACTTTACATACAAAGAATCATATAATATGGCACCCAGTGATGATCTAATTTACAAACATAACTACCAAAATCTGTCTTTGTTGACAGTCAAGTACCCAGCCATTACCTTTCCCCCAGTATTTCTCATTCCATCTATAAGAAAGGACCAGCTAGAACCCAATGCCCCAACATAAAAATCTGAGTCAGCAGCCATCAAGAAATTAACAAGTGGATAATTTGTGCTGGTCTCCCTACCCAGGCTGGCTTCGTAGTCAGCCATGGACATGTTAGTCCTAACTTGGCGTCTTACCTTTGTATAGTAAAAGTTCCAATGAGAATATTCTCTGGTCTTGTCAATCACTTCCTGAATCAAATTAGTCTTCTAATGTCAGATGTGTCCAAATAATTAGCAATTACAAAGCTGTGTCCGGCAACAAACAACCATTACCTGCATCTCAGTGGACAGCCAAATGTTATTAAGGTGAGGGAAGTGCCTCCGAATCCGATCCGCAAGCTGCATGTATTCTTCAAATCCAACTACCTTCATTTCACATGCCTTGTCTCCCATTCTTACATGCATACTTAGAAGAGGCCAAGGGACCCATGGCTTGTGGTTGGACCACACGTATTCATCAATATCATCAGACCTTGTCTTGGCTCTACTTTCCTGAGACAAAGGAGTAAAGGAAATTAATTTTCATGAATACATTTCTATGAAAAATATAATACTACCATTTTATCTATCACTGAGAGTAACTTGAAACAAAATTTGGTAAACTTTCTAATATTGCCTATTTTTATTCTTCCAGTGTTCAGATGAAAAACATGATTCATATATACTTCAAAAATTTTCCGTATCAAATAAAGAAAATTGTTCAAACCTTTGGCCAATCCCAAGCAAAACTTTCGAGAACAATTTTTGCTGCTAATTTTCCAAAGCTAACATGGCGGGCCTCATTCATTAAATTGCATGTGTATTCGGTTGGGAACCTCATTAAGTAACGTACTGCCTGAAAAGAATATTTATGGCAACAAGATCAAGTCATGAACTACTGATAAACCGAGGACGTTACCTAACTTCTTTTCTACAAGTCTGACAGGTACCTGTGCTCTCCACCACCGTCTATCCATTTTCCTATGAGAAGCTAACAGAGTTCCATTTAAATCAGTTGTGGGTTGCAAATAATTCCACGGAAGCCCCCACTTTCTGATATTGACATTGGAAGAATAAAACTTCGATAAGTTCAGACTCTCACCATGGAACAAATCATAAATATCTGATTGCAATTGCAAGAGGTTTGGTTACCTGGGAGTAGGTCCAGCCCATATATGCTTGGTTGTATAGTTTTCCTTTGTGGTCACAATTCCCTTACTCCACGCATCTTCACTTTTTATTAGTTCAAATGCACGCTGCCGACATTCTAGGGAGGTTTCAGGGAAGAAGTAACAACTCCAACTAGACCGGGAAGACCCTACATATAAAAGAAAGTTCACTTGTAATATCATCATACTCTTGGAGACTTTTGTTGAGAGCAGAAGTTAACATTGCACATTGGTTGTTACAACTAGAACAGATACTGCATAAGTCATAACATGGTTTTTTTCACAGCAAATATACCTTTACAACCCCCATGGTCAGCTCTGTTGTAATAGTTAGTGACAAGGACTCTTCCTTCGTTGATTGCAATAGCAAGAAGCCCAGTCATCCCAGCAATCTGAGCTCCAATACCAAATCCAGATAATCTTTCCCAGTCAGTAAGGAGAAACTTGATATCTGGGCTACTGCAGTTTAAGGGATGCTGATGGATCCAAAGGTCACGCTGCACTTTTCTAGTCAAGGGGTAGTTTTCTTCATCTGACCCTGCAATCTGCAAAAGGTTCAATATCAATAAACCTGACAATATTCCATCTAGATTTTTAACCACGAAATGTTATTTTAACTTCTATACGCTGTTTTTCTATTAATAATTATATCCTAAACGTGGGAACCAGTAACCATGCATTAAAGGAAAAATATAGAGCTGGACAATAGGGAGGAAACTCCTAAATGTTATATTTTTCTGTGTGGAAAAAGAAATGTGTTTAAGAAACAAAAAACTATGTAAACAATAATTGATTATGAAAAGATGATTGTTATGGAAACTAAGATCACTTCACTAGTACATTTGAAGATAACAAAATATAAAGTAATGGTTGCGAAAGTAATTTATGGCGAATCCGAAACTATAGAGAAATAGTTCATAACAGACCCATGGTGGATAGGCCCCCTCAGATGCCGCTTCATGCCTAAGATTTTGCATCTGCTCATTGAATGCAGACACAGGGAATGTCTGCAAAGATCCCTTCCAAGTTGTCCATGGTGGGAAAACATCTGTTCCAGTACGCTTATCAAGGTACTCATATAGCTGTGTTTTTACCTTGCAGTTTTCCAAATGGGGGGCATTAGGCAAACTGGACTCACTAATTCCTTGTTTTTGCAAGTACTCTTTACCACCGCCCGTGGATTCATTCAACACAGTACTCCAAGATGAATAAAGCAACGAGACTTTCTCTTCGTTATCTCGTTCTCTGCTGCTTTTCTCTTCGTTATCTCGTTCTCTGCTGCTTTTAGAATCCCATAATCTCTCAGTTTCCTTAAGCTTGAAATGGCAGTCCGAACGAGTAATCGTGTCTAAGAAAAGAAACAAAACACAATCCGGTGTTAAATTTATTTTATCTTTTCATCATAATCAATCAGATTGGTCACAGTATTATCACATCATTGGGATCAGTTCTACGTGTCTCGTTGTGCTAAGAATAGTTATTTCAAGCATGTCATAATTTCAATGCTGATTACGCAAAACAGGGTATACACTGACACTGCAAAATATGCAGTCCAAGTAAAAAATAATGGTTAATAGAGTATGCTTAACGTAAAGAAAGTGATTATTAGTTAAAGTATCCTTTAAAGTTGCTTCGTGGCCAAGCCTAACCCGTTCTCATCAAGTTCGCTTCGCAGATAAACGTCCTTGAATACATCAAGCTTTAAAAAAGTTTGGAACTCATGATAAACTCTGTTATTTTTCTTCAATAAAAGAGGAAAAGGAAAATAAGAAACACAAATGAAAAAAAAAAGAAAGAAGGAGAAATAAAACTCGTTTCCCCTTCCCTCCCTCCTTTTTCTATTTACTGTGTTCTAAGTTTTTAATTAAATACGGTAATTTTTCACAACCCAGTTTCAAAATTTCTGGAATAGGCCATGTTCTACCTACAGAGCAATAGTTATATGATAATAGAGGAAGATGACCCTGCATCCACAACCACATTTCCATAAAAAAATAAGGAATAAACCAGAAGTGTTTCAAATCAAAGGGAAGAGATGGAAATTGACTTACTGATACCATCGGAAAAAGTTGAATTCCCTGATGAATTAGCCATTGACATGGTTGAAAATAAAATGGGACCAAACTGAAAGGTGCCAAAGGAAGTCAAAGCAGCCAAGAACAGAGAGGTGAGGCATACTCCACAGAGAAATCCCACCACACAGATTTGGCAAGGAAACGAGCTTCCCATTTGCAAGGCTTTCTGCGAAACCACTCTCTCAATAGACTTCTGATTCAGAGGTTCCATTTCACTTTCCTCACAACGATTCTTTATTTATTCCAAAAGCTTCTTCCCCAGTAACACTTTTCCTCATGGACTACTCTAACTCGTACAGTGATCCACAGTTAGCTTCTTCAACTTGTGCGTCCTTCAACCACTTCAAGGAAAGGAAAATTAAAAAAAAAAAAACACATCACTATTTTCACCCGTCTCCTTAAAACCTTTTGTGGGTCCACCCTTGTCAGCCTTGCAACTGCAAAATTAATGCAAAGTTTCCATCAGAATTTATCAAAGCCACACTCATACAGAGACTCATGAAAGGACACGATACACAAAAAGAAATCAGCTTATCATCATATATGCTCCAGCAGCCACAATAGCGTCATAAAATAAATGAAAAAAAGTTGTGACCCACATACTTTCTTATACAATACAATAATCGTATCACAATAATACAAATACATAAACAGTAGCGAGAAAGTGATGGGCTAATAAATTAAGCTGAAAGCAGAGAAGGGTCTAACCTAACCCAACCGAATTATTAGAAGCTGTGAGAAAAACATATAAATGAAAAATTTTGTGAAAAGAGTTTGGAAAGTGTGGCAACGAGGATTGCTAATTACTATGACTAGTTGTGAAAAGACATGCAAATGCAAGGTGGAGAGGAAAGGCATTATGAGATAAACACATGTGATGAAAACGACAAAAGTAACAATCGGGAAGAAGATAAGAATATGTGGCAACAGCTTTAGCAGAACCACTCAGAAACAGTGACACGGATTTTTATCTGAACCCCGCGCGTGTCCAAATATCTCTCTATACTATATTAGTAGTTAGAACTTTGAAGTGATAAAAATAAAATTGGAAAAGGTGAAAAGGATGGGACATTTTTGGGAGGATGAAGAACAAAAGAGAGAGAGAGATGAAAAGAAGAACAGGTTGAGAATCGTGAAGGGAAACAGTGAACTGGTGGTGTCTGGTGAAGAGGGGAGGTGCTACCAATGGTGAAGGGATCAAATTCTGGTGTAGTTGCCACATATGTTCCTTCATTCTTCTCTATAATATCTGTGGTCCCCTCTTCATTTTTTTTTAATAATGTTTATCTATCTGTCATTTACCTAAAGATTTGGGCGAGTAGGTTCTTAAATTTGAAGTAGAAATTTTCAATTTACATTACCAAAAAGAAAGGAATCAATCCACTTGTCATGACTTGTAAACTGTGATGATGAAGATGAAAAGAACACGCCAAGAGAAACTTTCCAATTTATTCCATTTAACAATGTAATCGTTGTTTTCTTTGTTAATACAATGTTGCTTGTAAACAAACAACATATAATTTGGTTGGAGATGATGACCTTGTTAGTGCCACCATTGCTTGCATGTACTTTAATTCCCCAACAAAACCAGTGACTTTTTTTTTATTTAATTAATTTTAAATTATTAAATATGACTTTAAAATTAACTTTGGTCACAAATATGCTATGTTCCATAAAAAGAACTTCATTAATTGAAATTGGAGTTTTCATTAAGACAGATAAGCTCCACTTTAATTATTTCTATTAATACAACATACTTTATTATTTATCCGTGTCACGAGAATTCATTGTTAAATACGCATTCAGTGGTTTAAATAAATTATTTTGTAAGAATTCATTTAATAAAAAAATTAAAAATAGACGAATAAAATATTATTAACATTTTCTACTGCGAGCATCTCGGTAGTTTTTTAAAGATAAAAAAGCGATAATGAGCTGGCTCTGCATGTGCCTCGCATTTTTTTATCTTCATAATTAATTTTAACACTTATTTTTAAATCCAGTTTCAACACATTCCTAAACATTATAAAACTATTAAATAAATAATGTGATAATACTTCAGTAAACCATAACATAATAAAGAATCTTCTAAACACCCTTCTTCCTTTCTGTGATAAATATTAAATATATTTTATATTTTTAAGAAAGTATAGATATTTTAATTTTCATTAATGCTTTCTTAGTAGTAAAATAGCCATCAAAATTCCTACATGGTTGCATCATTGCATTTTTTTTATCAGGGATTATTTTTGTGGAGTTTTAATAGCATAAAATGTACTTAAAGTACTATGTGTTATCTTTTAATAATATTTAGAATTTCATATTAAATAAGATTTAAATCATTAAAATAAAATTATACATTTGATTATTAAAAAAAATATTAATAATGGTTATGATACTATCTCTATTTTCATTTATAAACAATACAGTATTAAATGTTTTTATTATTAAAAAATTATTTAAAATCATTTATTTAAGTCAGTCCCTTAACAGTTGACGAATTTAAATAATTTTATTTTTAGTGAAATTTTACTTCTAATCTTATTTTAAAACTTTGGATTTACTATATAATTATACAATAAAGTATAGTTTAACTTTTTCTGAAATAATAGAATAAAAAATTGTAGAATAAGATATTATTTGAAGTTGAGATTTGATTTTATCACAGTTTTATTTTTTTTTAAATCTTAATAACTTTTTAAACTAAATAGTTAAATTGTATGGATAAAATAAATGAAGGAAAAAGGAAGTCGGAAGCAGCTAGAAACAGAGGCTCCGCGGAATGGGTTGTAGGGGCAAAGCTTTTAGCAGGAATATGAAAGGCATGACATGTGATATGACTTTGGACATATGACATGACATGTGACATGTGACATGTGAATGATAAAATAAGACACGTGGCCCAATGATAGAGAGAGTGAAGTGGAAACGGATATGGGGAATGGAGCTGACGAGTTGTTATAATCAACTTAATTAAACGCTACCTTTTGTTATTACAGAATTGTGATTTGGTTTTTATAATTTAGAAATTACCGTCTATAATATAATATTATTATATTTATAATTTATATATTGAATTTGTGAATTAAATAAAATTCATGTAAGATAAATCTGTGAGAAATTTGACTATCACTAAGCTATTTACTTTTGAGACACCTGAACATTTCAACTCCAAAATCCTGCTTTTTTTTTTATAAATAATACTGTTTTTTAAAATATTTTTCAAAATAAGCACCTCTGCAACTTTATTTACACAACTAAGACTATTTACTCGTTCACGTAATAAAATAATATTATTTTGCGCAACTGTTTACTATTCACGTATTAAAATAATATTATTTCGCGCAATGAACTCTTGCTCAAGCGAATAAACCATTCGCTTGAGCGAGGAAATCCGTAAGAACGCAGTTATCTCTGGTCAACTATCGCTCAAGCGACAGATATTTCGCTTGAGCGATAAGTGATTAAAATATGTGGTGACCCAAGTTGCGTTATGTGGCTAACTGCGTTGGACATTTAGCGAAATAATGCAACTTGGGTTTAGATAGCTGTTCTAGAAATAACCGCTATTAAAAATATATTTTAGATAGCGGTTCCACGTTAACCGCTATGTAAAATATACTTTTAATAGCGGTCAATTCTACAACCGCTATCTAAAATCTCGGGTAAATTCTAGCTCAAGCGATGGTAATTTCGCTTGAGCGAGAAGTGATTGAAATATGTGGTGACCCAGGTTGCATTATGTGGCTAACTGCATTGGACGTTTAGCTATGGTCAATTCTCGCTCGAGCGAGTAGTGCATCGCTTGAGCGAGAAAACCTGCAGGTGACCCAGGTTGCATTATATGATGTTGCTGAAAGGGGAGTTTGTTCTGTTTATGAAATTATCTTGTTTCTGTATTGTTTTACCTAGAGCTGATTGTAATTGATTCATTGAAGGTGAATATGGGGATGATAGCATGTAAAGAGAATTTAAAATTTCTTGACTGATGGTTGGTTGGTTACTCAGGGTTAAAGTGCTTGAGGTTGTGGGGCTGTCAAGCATCAATTCTGTGGAATGGCTTAGAATGATCAAAGAAGTGTTTTTACAGTATTTTAATCGATACAAATTATGTTTAAGGATGTGTAAAAACTGATATTCAATGTATGTTTAAAAAGTTCAAGCAAACTGATTTTAAAGAGTATTTTCATAACTGCTGCATTAATTAATCTGTTGAAAGTTTGTTTTAATCTGTTGAAATAGCTGTTTCAATCTGTTAAAAGTCATTTCAATCCATTAATACGTTATTGATTCTTTAAGAGATTTGTTTTACCTGATACTACAACGGTTATATCAATTAAAACACTTTACAAAACTTTTCTAAGTTTGATTCAATCGATTGTTTCGTGTTTTAATCGATTGATATACTGCAAAACTTTCTTATAAAACTTTCCAAGTTATTTTAGCTGATAAAAAGAAGTTTTAATCGATTAAAACTTTGTACAAAATTTTTCCAAGTTGTTTTAATCGATTGAAATGCGTTTTAATCGATTGAAAGAGATCTGATCGGTCATAATTCAATTCTGATCGATCATAACCAACTATGATCGGTCATAACTGCATTCTGATCGATCATTCTGACCCTTTAAGTGATTTTAATCGATTGAAAAGTGTTTTAATCGATTGAAATAAGTTCTGATCGCTCATATTTCAAATCTGATCGGTCATAATGGGTTCTACAGGGAGTAATTTGTATCGATTAAAATACTGTAAAAACACTTCTTTGATCATTCTAAGTCACTCCACAGAATTGATGCTTGACAGCCCCACAACCTCAAGCACTTTAACCCTGAGTAACCAACCAACCATCAGTTAGCCACATAATGCAACTTGGGCCACCACATATTTCAATAACTTCTCGCTCAAGCGAAAGTACCCATCGCTTGAGCGAGACAGAACCCGAGAGTCCCCCTTGTTTGATGGCTTCGTCGCTCAAGCGATGAGTTTATCGCTTGAGCGAGTATTGACTGAATGACAAAACGTCAAACGCAGTTAGCCAAATAATATAAATTGGTTCACCACATATTAGAATCACTTGTCGCTCAAGCGTTCATAACGTCGCTTGAGCGAGACAAAACCCGAGAATCCCCCATTTTTCCAGGTGTCCTCGCTCAAGCGATGTGTTTTTCGCTTGAGTAACCTTAGATAGCGGTTAATAGCAACCGCTTTTAA